GGCACAAGCCAGAACCACTCACAAATTTCTGAGACTCTCAGGTTACTAAAATAACAGAAGAGGCCCAAATTCCTCCCCTCTTCTATTTCAACTGAAAGTCATGTACCCGGACTGGATCTAAGCCCCTGACAGCCACGGTCTAGTGACTTGGGATGTAATCGACCACCCATCTCAGCCCAGCCACACCCCAGGTGCTGTGAAGCTTTGCAGGTAAACATGAGCAGGCCTCAGGATGCTGTCCTCAGCTGCTGCTTACAGCCATGGGGCTCTGCTTTAACCTGTTTATCGCTTTATGAATAAACTCATGTGGGGAGAGCTGGAGCCCCAGCAGCTCCTGTCATGGAGAGCCCAGTAGCCTCTGCCATGAAAGGGCACAGAAGCCTCTGCCACGGAAGGGCACAGAAGCCTCTGCCATGGAAGGGCCCAGCAGCCTCCAAATGGAAGGGTCCAGGCAGAAAGACTTTAGCAACTGCAGCTGCTTCCATCTCTCTCTCTCTCTCCCCCAATTTCTTCCTCTCTTGAGAGTTCACCTCTCCCTGCCCTGGCTCCACCAGCTGTTTCATGCAAATCCAGCTGAGACAGCTGCTAACCTCATCCTGCTAAATTTTCAGGGGCCCTGGAGCCCCCTTGGCTGTCTTGGCCCAAAGCTGGACAAATTTCTGGTGTCCAGACAAGGTTGAGATTGTTCAGAAAGTACTTCAATAGGAAACTGGGGAAAAGCCAAAAACCTAAATTGCAAAAGCAGAGAATCAGACAATGTACAGAACACTGATTATCCTCCGGAAAAATTCTCATCCGAGCCCAGAACATTTGTTGCAAGGAAAAGGACTGGTGGTGCAGGCCTGATACCCCAGTTACTCGGAAGGTGAGGGGAGGATCACAAATGAAAGGCCTGTCTGGGCTGGGAATGAGTTCAAGGACAGCCTGGGAAACTTAAACTTTTTCTCGAAATAAAAAGTTAAAAAACCAAAAGGGCTGGAGTTATAATTTAGTGGTAAAGCTATTGCCTGGTATGTGCAAACCTCTAGGTTCAACCTCTACCCCTGCCCTACCCCAAAAAGGGAGGGAGGAAAGGTAGAAGGAGGGAAGAAGAAAAGGCAAGGTAGGAAGGAAGAAAAAGGACAGAGCTGTCGGAGTGACAACAAAGGCCCATTGAGGGAAAACTGATCAAGAAACTTAAAACCAGCCAGGCGATGGTAGCACACACCTCTAAATCCCAGCACTTGGGAGGCAAAGGCAGGTGGATCTCAGTGAGTTCAAGGCCAGTTTGTTCTACAGAGTTCCAGGACACTGCCTGCCCTTCAGGAAGGCAGGTTTACCATAAGCCATGCTAAAGAGAAAGGTGGAATAATTACTCCTTTAATGAAATCATGTACGTTTCCTTCCCAGAATTCCTGATCCCATCCACAGCAGCTTACATGGCCACAACCATGAGACTTTGTTAGCTTCCCCGCTTTTCTACATTACTCAGAAAAAGGCACATTTTCTTTTTCCTTTTATCTATGTTCTAAGCATGCTGTCCCCAAGACTCTGGACTTCTTTACTATTTCCCTACAGCCTCCTCCCTGCCATATGGCTGGCTGACCCCAGCTGGCCTCTGTGCTTGCTGTCTTAACCAGCATGGCCTGTGCTCTCCCATGTCTCTCCTCCATTCTCCTCTTCCTGGAAGCTACTGAGATTACAGCTTGCCTGCCCTGGCCTTTTTTTTTTAATGCAGTTAAAATTGTCTTCAGGAGTCTGTTCTAAATTATTTTATTAATGAGACTCAGAACGTTAAGAGGGAGACTCTGATTTCTCTGGTCTCACCTGGTACCAGAAGAGACCCCTACAATTTCCAGTAACGATCTCTTTGGATACTCAGACTTCTCACTTTCGGTTCTTTAGGATTTGGCTACAGAAAACTCTCTCACTCTAGCTTCAAACAGAGGCCAACTCCACTATCAAGCTTCACTGTGCTCTCCCTGGCCTTCAGAACCCACCACCCAGGCTCCTCTAAGGCTCTGGGATTTACTACATGTCTGCTGTGCACCCTGGATGGGGGTACTCATCAGACCTCTGGATAAAGAAGGACTTATTTGTCCCAGATTTCTACAGCAATTGTTCTCAACCTGTGGGTCATGACGCCCTTGGAGCTGAGCAGCCATTTCACTGGGGTCTCCTAAAACCATCTGCACAAAAGGTCTTTTTGTTTTGTTTTTGGTTTTTGGTTTTTTGAGACAGGGTTTCTCTGTAGCTTTGGAGCCTGCCCTGGAACTAGCTCTTGTAGACCAAGCTGGCCTCGAACTCACAGAGATCCGCCTGCCTCTGCCTCCCGAGTGCTGGGATTAAAGGTGTGCACTACCACCGCCCAGCCATAAAAGATATTATTAACATTACGATTCAAAACAATAGTAAAACTACAGTTATGAAGTAGCAACAAAAATAATTCTATGGTTGGGGGTCACCACTACTTGAGGAGCTGTCTTAAAGAGTCACAATGTTAGGAAGGTTGAGAACACTGCTCTGCAGAGTTCAGTGGTCCTAATCCAACCACACTTTCCCCAGAATCCTTCTTCTTAGAGCCCCAGGCTTTGGCAGTACCTTTTAAATGCCAGTCTGTACCACTCAGATGCCTACTGAACCAGAGCGAGCTCCCTATGTTCCATCAGTCTACTGGACACAAATATTTACCCAATGCCAAAAAGAATCCAAAAGCCCTTCTCTCAAAGACACTCCTGAAGACCAAGGCCTGCTGGGTGAGCCTTATAACTTCATGTGTAGATGGAGGCTCAGTCAAGTTCTACTTCCACATGGACCCTTATTCCTAGGAAAACCCTGTTTGGCTGACTCACCAGCACTTCGGTATCCCTTAGCCAAGTTTCTCCTCCAACCCATACCTGCACATTCCCAGACAACTGGGACCTATTAAGCCAGCTTTGTATTCAATCCTGGTTCTCTTACATCTTAGCCGAATAGCCTCTGTTTAAGTCATTTTGAGGAAATGAGAGTTAAACAGATCTTCAGTAAACAGACAGGGAGAGGAGCCACAGACAGATAATAAAGATGGTTAACTTCTGGCTTCTTCTTCACCCTCCTGACCTGTGACAAAAGCCTGGCAGGCTTTTTCTTCCAGGCCCCCTTGCTGGTAGACTGGTCTAACAAGTTCAAGGCCAGACCAGAATATGTTTAGCCAAAAGTGGTGGGCCTGTCAGGCTCCCTTTGTTTGAACTGACCAACCCCAAGGTAGATCCTTTAAAGTCCCCAGTCCTCTGAGGAGAGACCAGATTTCAAGGTCCCTGTCCTCCCACCCCCACATACCGTGTCATCCCCACCCCCTGCTTTTCTGGATCTTTATGTGTGTGCTTTGCTCTGTGTGCGTGTGCGTGTGCGTGTGTGTAATGTATGTGTGCTGTCCATGTATGCATGCGATGTGTGTGTGCTGTGTATGATGTGTGTGTGCAATGTGTATGTGCTGTGTGTGTGTGGTGTGCGTGTGTGCTGTGTGTGTGGTGTGTGTGTGTGCTGTGTGTGTGGTGTGCGTGTGTGTGGTGTGTGTGTGCTGTGCATGTATGTATGGTGTGTGTGTGTGGTGTGTGTGTATGGTGTGCGTGTGTGTGTGGTGTGTGTGTGTGTGTGGTGTGTGTGTGCTGTGCATGTATGTTTTGTGTGCGTGTGTGCTGTGTGTGTGGTGTGTGTGCAGTGTGGTGTGTG